TAAAAAACGACGAGATAGTGCGAAAACTTTTCAAACACATGTTTGGGAAAAAACGCACGTGTGTTATTCCAGGGTCGCAAACTTGTTGCGAACGTAAAAAATAAAATCCCTTCAAAACAATGTAACACAAAAAATGTTACACTAAAAATTGTTACACAAAAAATTTTGTTGCACAAAAATTTTGTTACTCACAGAAATGTAACACAAAAATTTTGCTACGCACAAAAATTTGTAACACACAAAAAATTGTAACGGAAAAAAATTTACGGTTTTGCATAGGCCTCTTACGGGGAAAGGATTTACCGCAAAAAAAAAATTCTAACGAGCGTTGCAGCATGCCTCCTGGGCGCGCATGGAAATGCTGCTTATAAAAAAACAATGTCAGGAGTGGGATTCGAACCCACGACCCCCCAAGGGGACCCACTCTTGTCTTCTTAGACCACTCGGCCATCCTGACACCGTGACTATGTAACTCTTCCACCACCCTGGGCGGCTCTGGCGCGCGTGTGGCGGACGCGGCGGACGCGGCGGCCTCGGTGCGCAGGCGGACTCCTCGGCGGCGACCTCGAGGGCGGACGCGTTCTAACCGGTGCGCGGGCCCCGGGCGGCGGGACCCGGACGGACTCCTCGGCGGCGACCTTCCCCGGGCGGGCGGCGGCGGGCGGCGGCGGGCGGCGGCGGGCGGCCCCACGCGGACTCCTCGCGGCGGCTACGATGACGGCCGTCTTAGGTTTAGGTTAGCACCCCTTACGATTGGCGGTAGGCCCTCTGACTTAGGCTTGGGTTAGTGCCCACAACCTGGAGGATGGAGGTCACTCGGGTAGGGGTGACCTGAGAGGTCTGGGGCGACCTAGGGGTCAGGGCGTGACCTGGGGGTCAGGGGGTGACCTGGGGGTCAGGGGGTGACCTGGGGGAACCAAGATGGCGGCGGGTGACCTGGGGGAACCTATACTACTGCTTTTGAACAGGAGCCAAAATGGCGATAATATAATTTCATTACCGTTTCCATCCCTGCTATACATGTGTAGGGATAGTGCCACACACACTTAGTACATATCCTACACAGGTGTATAGGAAAATTCCGATACTTGCATGGTAAGAATACAATCGCGTATGGTAGAATTACCACACGTCTGTAAGGGAAAATTCCAATACATGTACATAGGAATTGCTGCAGATACATTTATAGGAAATCTACCATAGATATTTTTTACAGTGTAAAAAGATGCCGCCAGTGGTTGACTCGGGGATTTTGCAAATTTCGAGATGGAAGTACTCAAAAAAAATCATATAGCTGAAATACGAAAAAAATGGGAAGTCTATTGTGATTATTTTTCGAGTACTGTCATTTCGACATGTGTAAAACCCCAAGGTCAACCACCGGAGTAACTAGCAATTTTCTTGACCGTCGCAGACCCATCAGTTACGCTACAATCGTGCACACCAAAAGAAGCTGCATCGTCCTAGTTGAGGGCGAAGCTTAGCATGTTCCTGCTAAGTGTGCGTACCGGCAACAACGGCAAAATTAGCGTCCATGTATGATCTTAATACATCTTTAATCCTAAATCGATGCGGCGTATAGTTTTTATGTAGTGACGATTCTTGCAAAAGCCTTACATTCCACAGGTCTGCCCCCTTAACGCGTTAGTGCTAGAATTCTGTAGTTTGGCGAAGCAAAATGATATCCAGAGCTGAGAATCATCATTTTAGTGCGTTACTTTATCCCATATTATGGCTTACTGTTTCATAATCGCATGGTTTGCTGACGACTCCGACTGCACAGCCATTGTGGCTGTTTCTCAGGCTGTGCATTGGTCTGGCGGTGTGCAAGGTGCTGCAGGAGTCCGACTCCTATCGGGCAGCAGAAAAACCACTGCTCGCCTTGACATCTTGCTACAGCGCGAATGTGGCCCTCACTGTTATTCGCCAAATGCGTTACTGGAACATCCTGCGCGAGATAAAATGTCTTGCCGAGGTCTTAGAGGATGACCTGGCCGAAGAGGTAAAGGATAAATGGTACTTGTAAAGAGGAGTGACTCATCAGTACATTTGGACAGGAGCAACCTATGGGCTGTTGGGAGGTAGATCCTTACGACACATTTTTCAAGTAAAGATTGTGAGTTGGATCCCAGGGTACCGACGATAAAGAAAGGAACCGCGTGGAATGTGTTTAAGGGCATATTGGGACAGTTCATCAAAAGTGGCCGACATAACACTTCAAACAATTCCAAAATTGTCTAATTTTGTAGATAACTGGCCTATTTAGACTTCCAGACCGTACGGCGCTATGTATGTTTATATGTCATAGGAAAGCGCGCCAACTGTTTCAATGTGCTCCATCCCATGCATTTTTCTGGTGTCCCAATGTGCCCCGTACCCGGACACATTAGGACAGGTGACACATTTTGGGGAAATCTCTCTACAGCCGAAGAGAATGAGAAAAAAATGGACTAATGGACGCCACATATTAATGTGCAATTGTAGCCAGTACCGGTCATTCTACCATGCAATAAGGTCTCCGACCTACATCAAAAAGAAAACTTTCGTCCAAACGTACCCCACCTTCCCTCATAACACTGGCAAGGGGCTTTATGACAGGGATGGAAACGGTAATGAAATTATATTATCGCCTTTTTGGCTCCTGTTCAAAAACTACGGGCCTTTATGAACTTTCGACACCGTGCCGCAATATATTAGAAAAGGCTCTATCCCAGCCAAACGGAGTTGCCCACAATATTTCCTTTTCTGGGGAGATGTGGCCACTTTTTTTAAAATTATTGGCTGAGCGATTAGCGAAGCCCATAACTCCACTGACCGGAAAAGTTTCATTCTCTTTGTCTGTTTGTCTGTGTGTTTGTTTGTCTGTCTGTCTGTCCGCACGATAACTCGAGAAAGAATTGAGATAGCGACCTGGGATTTTCAGGGTCGTTTTGTATCATAAAAAGACAGATCGAGTTCGAAGATGAGCATTCTAGCTCAAAAATTGACTTTTAAAAAAATCAAAAACCACAGGTCGCAAAATACATATTATTTTTCAAACATTTTTTTTATGGGCTCCTAAGGGGTAACTCATGAAAGTAGAACCCTTTGGGCGACAATTTTGTCCTTTTTGCTCTATCTCTTACCGTTTGGGTGCTAGAGAGCATTCTTGGCGAAGATAAGGTGAAAACGACAAAATGGTCTATTAAATCGTAAAATTTAACTCGTCTGGGGTGTCAGCGCCGCAGGCGCAGGCCTAGCTATATGTGCGCCAGGCGCGTCGCAGCGTAACAGTGTTTCGTGAGATATCGCGAAGCCTGATACGCGAGACGTGGTCTGGCGTACATATAGCTAGTATTAGGGTGCCGGTAATTTAATTTCTTAGATAAAAGTTGCCACAACTCCTAGGTTAAGCACATATTGCGAACAACCCTGATGGGATCAGATGAATCCTTTTCTACTCTACCAATGCACGGTGTCAAAAGTTAATTGAGTCGCATAGCTTTTGAACAGGAGCCAAAAAGGCGATCATATAATTTCATTACCGTTTCCATCCCTGCTTTATGAGAAGAATCAGAAACACTTTTAATATATTGGGGTTTCGAACACAAGTGGGAGCATGAGCGGCACCACATCCGCAGGCATTGTGAGTAATTGAAATTTAGAACAGTTAATTTCCAGGTTGAATAGTGACCCTTCATATTCATTTCTTGTGCCTATCGTTTGCTGTTTAGTCGTGGACTACTCGTCCATGCGGCCTGCGGGTAAAGAGTGGGTTAGAAAGCAGGTTCGATAATTGTACTTGTGAAAGCGATTTCAAAAACACTCTTGTCTGGGCCTACTTCGTGGAATCAAAGGAAATGAGGACAAAGGGTTAAGTTTTCACAGAAGTGGTTGGCTAGCGCTAAGAGTAAGAGTCTACAGACTGTCAGATATAACTTCCCGAAGGTTGTGCCCACGCGTCACGGACTGACTTTTAGAATTTTTTTTTGAACTTCATTCGCTTCTGTACGATATACGCGAGATTTCTCGGGGTTAGTAAATGTTCCAGTTAATAACTATTAAAAGGGGCTTTCCAGAGACATGAGTGCGCCACTTGTATCTTTTCAAAGTTGTCGGCACGGACCGACAAAAAGGAAACTCCTCTTTTTTCATCACTCACATTTCGCTCAATCGCTCTCAAACCACCAAAGATGTCGCGAAACCAAAAAATACCCTTATTAGAAATTTTTGCCTTCTATCCATAGCCCCAAAGCGCACGCGTCTATCTCTGGTAAAAGGTCTTTTCAAAAGAAAGACGATGGTGATGTCGACAAGATTCTAGTCTTGTCCTGTCACGAGATATTTGCGAAAAACCTAGGATGTGCTCATTCGGATCGCCGCTCAAAATTATAGGGGCCCAATCCCCCCCACCCCCACCCCTTGTCCCCTCCCGGTCATCTCATGGGCGAGGTCAGCATAGAGTGTCCCCTCCCGGTAACCTCACTTGCAAGGTCGGTACAATGTGTCCCCTCCCGGTAACCTCACTTGCAAGGTCGGTACAATGTGTCCCCTCCCGGTCACCTCACTGGCGAGGTCGGTATACAGTTTGTCCCCTCCCGGTCACCTCACTGGCGAGGTTGGAAGAATGTGTCCCCTCCCGGTCACCTCACTGGCGAGGTCGGTATACAGTTTGTCCCCTCCCGGTCACCTCACTGGCGAAGTTGGAACACCCTGTCCCCTCCCGGTCAACCTCACTGGCGAGGTCGGAACAGTTTGTCCCCTCCCGGTCACCTCACTGGCCAAGTCGTAACAGTGTGTCCCCTCCCGGTCGCCTCATCGGCGAGGTGGGACGAGAGTGTCCCCTCTCGGTCACCTGCTTGGCGAGGTCCGAACATGGTGTCCCTTCCCGGTCAGCATTCTGACAAGCTCGAGAGGGCCTGTCCCCTTCCGGGCACGTCCCTTCCCGGTCGCCGTCTTGATACGCTCGGAGAGATCTGCATGTCCCCTCCCGGTCACCTCCCCGACGAGATCGGAATAGACCTGTCCCCTCCCGGCCAGTATCCGGACAAGCTCGGAATGGCCTGTCCCCTCCCGGTCACCTCCGCGATGAGATCATACTGCACCTGTCCTCTCCCGGATCAGCCGATCTTATTTCCCGCCGCCGCCGCCGCCGTGTCCCCCTCCGAGTTCGAGGTGAAAAAGTCATTTTTTTCCTGTTCTGAGATCACGCACTTTTTGTGAAATGCACCTGTAACGTTGCGACGAGCCTGGCGCTGGCGCACATATAGCTAGGCCTGCGGTGCTGACACCCTAGACGAGCAAATGGGAGGGTAAAGGGGAACAGGGTAGAAGGGTGCAAAATGCACGAAGGTCTGAAATGTTGATGTCCTGGGGTGTCATCGCGTTCTATGTTAAAATACAAGATTTTTGATACCCCTCTCGACTTGATCTGACCACCAGAAAAGGTCCCGCCAGGCTGTCAAAGTTTAACATAGAACTCTTATGGAGAATTAGTCAAAAAAGTGAAATTTCCCGTTTGAGCCTTTCGGTCGCGAAAATTTGGGAAAACTCGACCGGAAATGGAATCTACGCGTGAAAATGCATACGGAGACGTGTCGGACGTCATATTTCATCAATAGGTCCCTGAGCTATGATATGGCAATTTTGGCAAAATTTGCGCTAAATGACCATTTTTCAATGAAATCACCATGTCATAGCTCAGAAAGCACTTGATGAAATATGATGTTCGATACGTCTCCGGATGCGTTTTCACGCGTAGATTCCATTTCCGGTCGAGTTTTCCCAAATTTTTGCGACCAAAAGGCTCAAACGGGAAATTTCACTTTTTTGACTATTTCTCCATAAGAGTTCTATGTTAAACTTTGACAGCCTGGCGGGACCTTTTCTGGTGGTCCGATCAAGTCGAGAGTGGTATCAAAAATCTTGTATTTTCACATAGAACGCGATGACACCCCAGGACATCAACATTTCAGACCTTCGTGCATTTTGCACCCCTCTAGGAACAGGGCCTTCCGGGCCCAAAATTTGACATACTGAAACCATTTGCAGGGGTCTTATACTCTAAAATTAGGGATATGAAACTTCTGCTGTTCGGTAACGGTTTTCATTCAAAGTTCGAATTTTGACAGATTGTTAGGTAAAAATCAACGCTTTAGTCATGAGAGAAAGGCGCCCTGGAGAAGAAGCTTTACAGCGCCGACTACCCGCTTTTCTGACCGGGAAACCAAAAGGCTCGTAAAATTGTCATCTTGCGAGGACGACGTGAAGCCCATCGGATTCCTTAGTGTTTTCCCCATGGCATGCTCTTTTCGGCGTAGTTCTGCGATCAAAACTACGCTTTCCCGAGCCGATGAAAGCGCGCTGTCGGAGGTCGGCGGAGCCGATGGCCGCCCTGGCTGCCAGCTCGTCTGTCCGGTTTGGCATATTCCAGCTCATTTGCGCAGTAGTGTGTGAGCCGATTCAGTTCAAAGTTGATATTCAGAGGTTTTTGAGGGTGCTGATTCCATTTCCGGTGTCGGATTTTACTTCCGGTTTCATCTTCAGTGCATTGTGGGGGCATGATGGATCGCGTTAACATCGCGTCCATGATGAAACCGAAAGTAAAATCCGACACCGGAAATGGAATCAGCACCCTCGAAAACCTCTGAATACCAACTTTGAACCGAATCGGCTCACACACTACTGCGCAAATGAGCTGGAATGTCCCAGACCGGACACACGAGCTGCCAGCCAGCTCGGCCGTCGGCTCCGCCGACCCCCGACGGCGCGCTTTCATCGGCTCGGGAAAGCGTAGTTTTGATCGCAGAACTACGAGGAAAAGACCACGCCATGGGGAAATCACTCAGGAATCCGATGGGCTGCAGGGCGACATCGAAAGATCTAATTTTTACGAGCCTTTTGGTTTCCCGGTTAGAAAAGCGGGTATTTGGCGCTGTAAAGCTTCTTCTCCATGGCGCCCTTCTCTCATGCTTTAGTGATACTTGATAATTTAGCGACCATTAAAAGCTTAAAAAAAGGGTGTGGTTCGACCCTTAATGTGTTGTTTAAGTATTATTCCCTTTACAATTCTGTGACATGAAGCCTTTTTTACGATTTAATAGACCATTTTGTCTTTTTCACGTTGTTTTCGCCAAGAAATGGCCCAAGGCGCCAAAACGGTACAAGATAGAGCAAAACGGACGAAATTTGCTCTCAAAGGGCTCTACTTTCACGAGTTACCTCTTCGGAGCCCATAACAAAATATTCGAAAAATACAAATATTTTGCAATCTTTGGTTTTCAATTTTTTTTAAAGTCAATTTTTAAGCTAGAATGCTCATCTTCGAACTCGATCTGTCTTTTTATGATAAAAAACGACCCTGAAATTCCCAGATCGTTCTATCAATTATTTCTCGAGTTCACTGATGAGCAATCAAAACAGCGTAAGTCCACTAACCAAAATTTTACAGGAGACTGTTTAAACATTCTAGTTTGAGAAATTCTCATAGTATTGTTGTCTGCTCCAAATTAGTTTGAAGAAAAAAACATCAGCAAACAGAGAAAATTGGTTTATTATTTATAAACTTCAGAATTGGCTTTGAAAATGGCACACGAGAAGGGTCAAAACAACGAAAGTCCAGGACATAAGGGCGAAAGTCCATGACAGAGCATAGCAAAACAAAGAAAGTCCAGCAATGAGCACCTTACCCCATTCGGCGGAACCATAACAAAGCAGAAGCCTCTTGTCCCTAAAATATCTCAAACGCCCTTAGTTTGGTGTTATTTTTGATAAAACTTGTGTGGTAGGGAGTTAATTTTTCACACCGAGGACGATAGGACTACTCATTTTAACCGAAACGCACGAGAAAATTTGCATGTTATGGTTCCCACTACGCGCTGCCACCTCGCCACCGAATGGGGTAAGGTGCTCATTGGCTGGCATAAAGACGAATGTCCAAGGATTTTGTGGACTTTCGTTGTTATGCTAGCACAAACCTGGACTTTCGCTGTTTTGACAGGTAACACCTGGACTTTCGCTATTTTGACAGCCCACACCTGGATATTCGCTGTTTGACAGCACAGATTTAAACTGTCGGTCTAACCAAGCAAAATTAGGTGACATCTTGCTGTCTGACGGATTCAAAGTACAAAGAGACATTAGTTTCTTTTTACAGTTGCTAACATCACTATCAAAATTATGTTAGTCAACTTTTTTATGTTTTTCAAATTTAAATTTGAAAAAAAATGATAACTATGATATTTCAAACTAATGTTATTGAAAAAGACGATACTTACAATGTTATCGGCACATTTCGGGAGAAACAACAATAGTTTTCTCAAAGCTGAGTGGACATGTGTGTTGTAGTCATTAACCTATACAATGACTAGTTTGCTATAATGCACTTATGGCTCTGGGAAGTTATTCTTGTTGTAAAAGCAAGTTCAAGAAAAGTTCAACTATTCTGCTTATTTTCCAGGAGCCTGTCAAGTAAGTTATCTTTTAGATACCTGTGTTAGAATAACAAACATTAGAAGCCAATGTGAATGTAAGGGATTGATGGCAGAGTATTTTATAGATCATGGTGACAAGTGATTTTGCTTAAGTAGAATGTGCATCCAGAGCGGAACTGATAAAAAACAACAGTCTAGTTATGTGCCACCAAAAAAGCGAATGTCCAAGTCTGATGTAGCAAAACAACGAAAGTCCATATGTGAGCTAACATAAGAGCGAAAGTCCAATAATTTTGTGGACTTTCGCTGTTATGTCAGCCCATGGTTGGACTTTCGCTGTTTTGATCTAAAAATGTATGGACTTTCGTTCTTTAGGTCAGCTCACATGAGGACATTCGTTTTTTTGTTGGCTCAAGGGTGGACTCTCGCTATTTGGTACTGCTCTGTATCCCTGCCGTTTATTAAGATATTTTAAATCCGTTTACACATAACGATTCGCCTTAAAGTATAGAGTTTACTGCTAACAAAAACCTTAAATGAGTAAAGGGTGGACTTACGTCCTTTTGTTGGCTCATCAGTGAGTTATCGTGCGGACAGACAGAAAAACAAACAAACAGACAGACAAACAGAATGAAACTTTTTCGGTCAGTGGAGTAATGGGCTTCGCTAATCGCTCAGCCAATAAGCCCACTCTTTTCCTTGGTGTTTTTTTCTTTTCTTTTGCTCTACTTAGATAAACGTGAAATTGTGTGAAATTACCCTCAAGAAGGTTTATATCAAAGTGCCCAATCAGAAATGTTGTTTTATGGCGATTTTCGATTGAAGAAACTACCTCCAGCGCTTAAACAGTGAGAGATAGAGCCAAACGGACAACATTTTAGTTCAAAGGGATCTACTTTCGCGAGTTATCCTTGGAAGTGCTGTATCAAAGTCTACAATTAGAAATCTTGTTTTTTGGCCTCTTCGATTGGGAAAAACTACATCTAGCGCATAAACAGTGAGAGAGAGCCAAACGGACAAAATGTTTGTCCGAAGGACTCTACCTTTACCCTGAGGGAGACGGAAAACAAATATTTTTTTTACTACTCCTGGACCAACTTCTGTTTCTTTATTACCTCCTCTCACCACCTGAGCTGTAGTAGCCAGGATTTGCACCAACCGTTTCGTTGTCCAGAAGTAACATCAATCTTACCCTGAAAAATTCAGACCTCTGGCACCTCTGGCACCTTGGGAAACGGGAAAACGAACAGACAGACACGGGGGCGATGACGCCCGCTTTTATAGCTATTAAGCAAAAGAGCGGGCTAAAAACTGACAAAAATATTTGACTGGGGCCAGATGGCACAAGTCGCCCAGCCTCGGAATCAGGGTGAGTTGGTTTGGGGCGAGTTGTACCATTAAACGACTTGGATGGAGCAAGTTGACTGTCTCCCCCCCTTACCGAGGTTTTTAGCCCGCCCTTCTGCTTTTAAAAAAGCATTATAGCGGGCTTATGCAACCGCTCTCGTGTCTGTCTGTCTGTCCGTCCGTCCGTCCGTCCGTCGTCCGTGTAAGAGGAAGGAGATGAGCTAGAGGTCTACAAATTTCAGGGTATCTTAGGGGTCACTTCTGGACAACGAAACGCTTGGTGCAAATCCTGGCAACCACACCTAAGGGGGTGAAAGGGGGTAACAAAGAAATAGGGGTTGGTCCAAAAAGTAGAAAATCAAATATTTTTTTATGGTCTCCTAAGGGGTAACTCGTGAAAGTAGAGCCCTTTGGGCGAAAATTTTGTCCGTTTAACTCTATCTTGCACCGTTTGGGCGCTAGAGTGCTTTTTCCGACGAAAATACGGCGAAAATGACCACGTTGCACATAAAGACGTACAAGGAGGCGTCCAATCGAAAAATGTCCGAGGAAGTACCCCCCCAAAATAACACATTCTGAATCGGAAATAACCCTCGAATTTGCCGTATCTTTCACTGTTTCGGCCACAGAGGTGGATACATTGAAAACAATGGCAAAAAGACAAGTTATAAGACTCTTTGACAAACAATATACAATCTAAAAACTGCGCGGGTTCTTTTTTTTTTTCTAAGCAAAGCAGAAGGGTGGGGTGTAGTCACGGTGTTGCCCCGTTACAGTCTTTTGTCATTTCCAAGGAGGAAATCTCTAGGGCCGCAGGCCCCCCGCCGAACGCTTTAGTTTACTCAAATATGCAAAGTAATTTACCGGTCACATTATTTATTTGATTAGAAATGGTCGGGCCGAAGGCCCGACCATCGCCGCCGGCAGGCCAAGCAGGCCCGGCCCCTGCCGAACGGAGTTGCCGGCGCAGCGAAGTGGGGCCTGCTTGTTCTTTATTGCTATGTGTAGTTTTCAGCAACGCTAGGGTAACAACAAATTATTATCAGGTATCAACGAATTTGTTTATTTTATGGATCCCGATATATCATTTTCTTGTCAAGAAATTATATTTGTTGAGAACAGCAAACAAATCCTACCTGATAACAATTTTGTTGTTACTGTAGTGTTGCTTGACATTATATATCTGAGAGTGTGGAATTGCACACAAGTTTCTCAGAACGTCTGCGAACTTTGTTCCCTTACACAGACTATTAAGGTTTGCACCTGACAGTGCTTTTTGAACTCTTTACTGCACACAGGTCTGGGTAGCCCGAACGAGGCGGAACATCATCTTGTTCTCCTCTATCAACCTAACCTTTGGCATTTCCCTCGGAGTAAGCATTACGCTGCGTTTTATTATCTCTGGTGACAACACATTGCTTCTCCTCTGGCCGTTCGTGCCGTACACGGGGTCCTGGGGATTGACCATCGCACAGCTAGTCACCGGAGTCTGCTGCCCTTTACTCTCCATAACAATATCTATCGTGGTGACTGCCTTGGGTTGCACAACGTCCACTGTGACCGGCCTTCACCACGCCCTGGCGCAGTGCCTCATTGCGACCGCCACTCCAGAGGCCGTTCGGAACGGAGCCAAACTGCACCAACGGCTGCGGCGCGTCACTCTGGATCTCACTGAGTTCTTTGCTGGCAATCTGGCCCACGTGATGGCGAGTTCTTTCTCTCACTCGTCACTTGCCATCGTTCAGGTAAAGGGACGCCGTTTTACGATCGTCCATTACGGTGATAAAGTTGTCTAGAAAAATTTTCTGTCAAGAAAAATTTTCATCTAATTCCCCCCCCCCCAAAAAAAAAAATCCCGCTTCAAAAAAGCGTTCAAAATTGGCCATTTCGACTCCAGGATTTTTCCCATGCTTTTTCCCCTATTTTCACAGGAAAGGTGTCTCGACACCCTTAACCCAAAACGGACCATTCCCGAATTATGCCCAGCCATAGAAAGTTTCCCGGTTCAAAAAAGCGTTTGAAAGTGGCCATTTCGCCTCCAGAATCTTTCCTATGCTGGGCAAAATTCCTACTTTTACAGGGATGGTGTCTTTTGACCCCCTCAACCCAAAACGGACCATTTCCGAATTATGCCCAGCACAGCAATAGTAAGTTTCCTGGTTCAAAGAAAATTTCAAAATTGGCCATTTCGCCTTCAGAATCTTTCCTATGCTGGGCAAAATCCCTATTTTATAAGAATTGAAAAAATATATACAAATTTCATAATTTTTACACTGGAAACGCAAGTGTGTGAATGGCGCTCACTTGTAGGTGAGCGAATATTCGTTCGTACACTTACGGATGTAAACGTGCAAATTTTCTAGGAAAAATTCCCACGTTTTATTCCCCAAAGTGTACGAATGGATATTCACACACCTACAAGTGTGCGACATTCACACACTTGCATTTCCAGCGTAGTTAAAGCTTTGACTTTAACAAAGCAATTCGTAAAATAACGATTTATCGTAATTGGTTCGTAAGACGAAGTTTTCGTACTAAAAATTAACCGAGAAAATTTCGTAAAATCACGATATTTATGTGTATAGTGATGTCCACACCAAAAGTCAAGTTTCGGAAAAACAGCCATACTTTGTTAACAGAATTGAGACCCTCTCAGATCAGCTGTAGCCCGCCCTCTCTTCTTATGCGTTGCTCAGTAGGGTGGAGTGAAAATCTGGGATCTTAAAAGTCGACATGAATTATTGTACTTCAAGATATCCTAAGACTAGCTGCAGGGTCGATTTGGAACTATCGAAGGTCCTTAGACTCCTGAAAAGGGCCTAAAGTTAGGTCTGCAGGGCTAAAACACCACTTTTTGACCTCCAGGGGTCAGTCTAGGGGTCCTCCGGGAAACAGCTATCTCTTAAAAGGTGCGGAATACATTCAAGTAAGTACCCTAGAAGTTTGAACCCGCTGCGCCATCGTCTTCAGCCTGGCCTTTCGACTTTTGTGTCCAAAAAACGCTCTTTTCCATTACCTGAAAAAGTGTTTTTCGCTCATATCTTCAGAACCATCGGTCTAACAGAAAAAAATAATAAAATGAAATCGTCTTGTCTTGTCGAGATGCATCGGGAATATCTTCTGTTGTCATATCCGTTCGACCAAAGTTTAGAAGATATGGTCAAAAATCGCAATTTTAAGCTGTTTTTAGACATCAAAAGTCGAAAGGCCAGGCTGAAGACGATGGCGCAGCGGGTTCAAACTTCTAGGGTACATACTTGAATGTATTCCGCACCTTTTAAGAGATAGCCGTTTCCCGGATGACCCCTAGACTGACCCCTGGAGGTCAAAAAGTGGTGTATTAGCCCTGCAGACCTAACTTTAGGCCCTTTTCAGGAGTCTAAGGGCCTTCGATGGTTCCAAATCGACCCTGCAGCTAGTCTTAGGATATCTTGAAGTACAATAATTCATGTCGACTTTTAAGATCCCAGATTTTCACTCCACCCTATTGCTCAGAACGTTTCCTTTGTCATCGGGTTGTTGTAAAATTGCGCAGGTGATTGCCAGCCAAGAAATGACGAGCACTACGTTTTTCCAACTATTTCGCGTACTAGTGGTCTTCCTTTGGCTGTCGTTCCTGAGCCAGGAGCTGTCCGACTCTAGTCTGCGACTACAGCGATCCGCCTACCTCGCCGCCACCGGCAGCGGCACGGCGCTCGCCGAGGCCCGTGCCCTGAACCTGGTCATGCTGGCCGCGAGCAGGCCGCCAGCCCTGACCTGCAAGGGCCTTGGCACGCTCAGTCTGTCCTCCGCGGGGCATGTTCTCCGCCAGCTCTATTCGGTCATCAACGTGCTGAAAAAGCAGAACTAGAAAGCACTCCACTAAGTCGTGCAGAGCAAGTAGTGCGCGGTCTAGTTTGCTGAATCTGGAGATAGACTGCAGTTTTGTGTCAAGCAAAGCTGCTTAGTAAAGCAGGATGGTACTTTTGGGCCAAATAAAGGATTTCGCCCAAAGAGGCATCGCAAATTTCCTTTAAGGAAGATTTTATAGGTCATCAAAAGTGTCCCACTAACAGATCGCATGCCCAGAAACAGACAAAAAATAAAGAAAAATTGCAGTTTTTTAGCCCGCCCTTCTGCTTTGAAAAAGCTATCTAGCGGGCTTATGCAAACGACCTCGTGTCTGTATGTGTGTCTGTCTGTCTGTTCTACTAGAAGGAGATGTGCTAGAGACTTGAAATTTTCAGGGGATCTTAAGGTCCACTTCTAGAGAACGAAACGCCTACGGCAAATCCTGAGAACCACCCCTAAGGGTGTGAATAGGGGTATCCAAGGTTCAAAAATTCTTCCAAAAAGTAATTTTTTTTGTATGTTCTCCTGTAGGGTAACTCGTCAAAGTAGAGCCCTTAGGGCGATAATTTCGTCCGTTTTGCTCTATCTCAAACCGTTTAGGCGCTAGAGGGTCTTTTTAGACGAAAATAAGCTAAAAATTGCCATAGTGAACAATAAGTTGTAGTAAAAGGCCTAAAAACCGCAAAATTGAAAGGAAACTCACGCCCCACCCCCAAAAAACGTTTTCTAAGCAGAAGGGTGGGTTGTAGCCAGGGTGCTTCACCGTTACATACCTTTCTCGAGTCTTTGGGGCAAACTCAAAGACGACGGGGTTAAGCGGGCCGAAGGCCCGCTACATCATTTGATCATGTTCTTCAGCAAATCGCGTGACAGAAATGGTCGAGCCGCAGGCCCGACCATCGCCGCCGGCAGGCCAAGCAGGCCCGGCCCCTGCCGAACGGAGTTGCCGGCGGAGCGAAGCGGAGCTGGAAACTTCGTTTTGCGGAAGGGCGGTCCTGCTCGTTAGGAAACCAAATGAAGTCGAACCGCGATAAAATCCGAACAGTCGCACCAGTACAACCCCGATGCAGAGAGGATGGGCTGCTTTCTGGCTACGTTAGATGCTTTCATGGCTCTAAAAATTCTGGCCAGCGGCTGGCCAGGAGACTGTTCCATGGGCAAGGTCAAGCTCAAGTTCGTGGAGGAGACATTACAACATGACGGAGTGGTCCTGGACCCTGCCAAAATGGTCAAGAACCCTGCGCTGCGCACAGCTCGACACATATATTTCTTTTTTTAATTTTCAGTATTTCCATTCGCGCCTAGGAGGCATGCTGACACGCTCGCTAGAATTTTTTTGTGGCAAATCCTTCTCCCTTAGAAAGAGGCCTATGCAAAACCGTATATTTTTTTATTATACCAATGTGAATTCGTACCACATACTGACACGTCGTGCGCGAAGGGGTAATCACTACAGAAAGTAGGTGTAGACATTTCTATTAAAGTTAACGTGAAAGTGACAAAAAGTTGACTGGAAGTGATCAAAACTGAAAGCAAATGTGGACAAAAGTGACTTGCATTGATCAGATCAAAAATGAATAAAATAGAGGGGATATAGGCATAGAAATGAAGTAAACGTTGTAAAATGGTGAATAATAAAAAGTGAATGATTTCCACGGAGTGATTACCCCCTCGGTCGTGCGTTAAGACACGCGCATGAGTGGTAAGGGAATACGATGTTCTCTGGACCGTGGTAGAGCACAAACATGTCAGGGACTATTTTTTCGAGTAGGCTTTTTTTCTCACTGCCTTTGACATAAGTGTACTCAAAGCAATCCACAATATCGCGGATTTTCTGCGAGCACTGCTCGTAGGGGATGAAGCCAATGTCCCACTTAAGTCCGTGAATGAATTGTGTGACGTAGGTGTTGTGGCGTTTGTAGTTGCGCGGGAGGAATGTGTCATTATACGGTGGTAGAAAATGCACCGTGTTACTAAGATCCCATTTTGAGTTGTACCGGCTGAACTCCTTGATAATGAGTTCACCTCCATAGCCCATGAGCATTTGCATGTCACAAAATGAGTGAGCCATGGTGGTCTCGTTGATTTCCAGAAGACTTCACGCCTACTTAAGTTACGGTATAAGTCGTAGTAAAAGGCCTAAAAACCGCAAAATTGAAAGGAAACTC